GGTCTGTCTCTTCCTTTTCTTCTTGTCTCAAGTCAGCTGAGAACCAGGACAGGACTACGTCTATCAGACGTTGTATGTTTCTCTGCGGCAAGGCAGGGCCCTGGAACTTCCCGACCCCATGAACGGCCCCTGGTGCTTTGCAGCTTTGAAGATTATTCTGCTTTGATGGTGTGTAGATTCCAATCGTCAGTTTAATCTCAACGGCTGATTCCTCAAAACCATTGGCCTGTAGCGTTTCAAATGGAAAAAGCCTGAATATTGCAGCAATGTTCTAGGAAGCAGCCAGGTCCTTCCCCAAGATCTCTGGGAAAAAGGATAAATTTTCTGTGTGTGTCGATCTGTCTTAGGACACTGTGAACATGGCCTGTCACATCAGGGACATTTATTTGCTCAAGAAGGCAATCCCAGTGATTTTTTCCAGGGCCCTACTGAATCCCCCCTGAATGATTTCCCTCACAATTTCCTGTTATGACTGTGCTTCTATTTCTGTCCTCTGCTACACGGCACATGGGAGTGAGCATTTGTGGCGGGGAGTCTGCCTAATGGAACTTTCTCTTCATTTATTTGCAGACAACCAAATGGGTCACGAGGGGCTGAAAGGGCGAGAGTCAGATGCCCCCAGGTAATTCTGAATACTTGGGGGCTGGGAAATCAGTGGTGGCGTCTGTAGACCTCAGATCCAAGGAAAGGCAGAAAGTGCTGGATAGAACCATGTTATCCATTCGGTCAATGGCCAATTATCTGCTTTCACAGTGGTTTCTGTTTTCATTGTGGTACTTGTATTGCTCCCATTTCTTACTTATGACTCAAGTTGAGTAACACACAGTCAGCTGGCCCAGGTGAGCTATAGGCACAGGGATTCCTGCACTCACCATTCTCCCCAGCATTCGAGAGAAAGGCAATCTACTTTCTGCCCCGTTCGATTTAGCAGGTGGGCATGTATTTCAGAGCAAGAATGTAGGTAGACTCAAATGTGCCATCATGCCGTGATATTGAGAGAGACAGGCCTTCATGACATGAGAATTCTGAGAGAGTAGCCTGCCCCCGAAGCTGCAAGCACTGGGCCACTCCATGCAGGACTCGAGGGCATTTGAACGGAAGGGAGGGAGCCACTGCTGTCCTGTGACTCTGTGTGTTTGAGTCAGGACTGGATGGCACGGTGCTCATTCAGGCTCTTGCCTCATCAGCTTGCTAGGTGGCCAGTGTACAGAGCACTTACTGTCCTTTCTGTCTGCCGCCCCTGTGACAGACACACCTCGTCCCACACAAAAAGAAGAGTTGTTTCTCTCATTAATGAGGCACTCTCTTTGCTTTTGTGAAAATGCCTTTTGCCTTCCATCAAAGCCAGACAGGACGTAGGATTTCAGATCCCTCTTTGGTTAATCTTCAGTTTTCCCCCTGCCTCAGGCTCAGTAGACTGCTGCTAGAGGTGGTGGAGGAGGAAACCACATGGGACTCTCTGGATGAACGCTACTGGACATATTCGGTTCTTCCTGACCTGTCTGACTCCTACTGGCCTTACAGGAGCACCGCCATCTTCTTCCCTGAGGAACTGGAAGTCTCTTCTGCTCTGGAAATGGCCAGTGAGTACTCCGCTGTCAGGGTGATCAAGCTCCAGCTGGACTGCCCCGTACATCTCCTGGTCTTTGTGCCCCACACCTGTGCTGTGCTGAGAGAGCTCATCCCTGTGTGCAGGCCCTGTACACACATCTTGATGTGAGCCAGGCTCCAGGATGGATGGAGTTTCAAGCACAGACATCATGTGGGTCAGGGAACTCTTCTCCCTTCCTACTCCCAGGACATGCCCATGTCCCCTGGGCTTCACTGTCAGGTCATTGGACCCAAGGGCGGCATGACAGATACGACTCGCCTCAGCAACACGACCATAGAAGGTGTCTGTCAGACCTTGGATGCAATGCCTCTTCTCACCTTTCATGCTCCACATTTCATCTCTGAGCCAGGTCCTTTAAGAATCCGTGCCTGCCACAGTCGGTCGGAATCCTTGTCCAGGGTGAAAGATGCAACCTTGGCTTTCCTGTTCTTAGCCTCATTCTCTATCTCTTTGCTTTGGCTTGTCTTCCTAAGCCTCGTCTGAAAACCCACCCTACGTGCCTCTACTGTTAGCTCGTTTGTGTGTTTCCAGGAGTAGAGCTGTGCGTTGGCATTCCCTCATCACAGGAATTGCGCCAAGGTTTCTGTGTAGCTCCAAAGACTCATTTTAATTTGAGGGTTTGTACTTGCATGCTCTCTGCTCCATCACAGTGTATAAATTCCACTAAGCCGTCACCAACCAGGTATCTCACGAGAGAAGGCTGAAAACTGCAGTTATCCTTTTAGAAGGTAGAGAGGCCAGGTCCCCAGAATCTGTGTGAAAAAGAGAACTGAAAGTGTTTGCACAGACTCAAAACAGAGGAAATTGTGATGATGATCTCTTGGAGAAAGCAAATTTCTCCCAGTGGCTCAGGCCAGGAAATCAAGCCAGTTGTCACACTATCCGAGGCACCCTGAAATATCCTTCTCACTCAACCTGTGCTCTCATTGAGCATAGCTGAGTCCCCGGGTGGCACCGAACACTGGGTTACTAATGTGCAAGCAGGGATCTGTTTAATGTGACTGGCCCCGTCTGTATTTATTTGCAGAAAATCAGACCCATCAAGAGGGGGAACAAGACCAAGACCTGACATGCGCCAGGTAAGTCTGAAGAATCATGGGTTGTTATTTCAGTGGTTCAACTCTACATTTCACAGGAAACACAGAAACCGCCAAATTTACCTATTTCATCCATTCTCCAGTCTCAGAATATCTTTTTTTGGCCATGACGTGTGTCTTCATGTGTTATGTGGATAAGTTCCTTTAATGATCCCTCAATTTCGATAACCGGCAGTCAGTTGAAGTAGGCGAATTGTCACTCCCTGAGGTGCTCTGTATTGCCCTGATCTCTCCTTTGGGAAACACCAGAGTGACAGACGTGTCTACTTCTGTCTCTCTGGTGTTACCTCTTTGAGGATCTGCTGTAGCAAATGGATAACTGCAAAAAAATAAAAAAACCTCACATGATGTCACGATAGTAAGAGAAAGAGTCCTTGAAGACGCAAATCTCTCCATGTGGATGATGCCTTTTAACATGTGTTCACTTAGCCACTGAATGTATATCAACAAAATTCATGCAAAAGGGTTGAACTCATGTTTATGATTCTCCATGTGTGCTGTGAGTCATGACATCCATTCCACAGTAGTTCAGTTTGGTGCATAGAAGTTGGTTCTGTGGCCAGTGCCCTGAACACCTCTGTTCTCTGTGTGTGTGTGTGTGTGTGTGTGTGTGTGTGTGTGTGTGTGTGTGTCTCCCTGTCTCTCCCTCTCTGCCTCTCCTGCCCCCAGAGCATCCACACTGTGCCCCTGAAACAGGAGGATAGTTTTCCCTGTCAATAATGGGGTTGCCCCTACGTTATGACCACACTTCTCGGCTTCCCGTGAAAACCAGTAAGATGCTGTGGTGTCTGCTTTTCCTGTTTTAATCTTCAGACCTCCCCTCCCCACCAGGCTCGGCAGGGAGCTGCCGGAGAGTGCAGAGCAGGATGTCCAACAGGACTCACTGGATGAACGCTATTTGACTTACTCAGCTCTTCCTGACCCATCTGATTCCCCCTGGACCCACAGGAGGGCCAACATCAACTCATATGAGGATCTGGATGTCTGTCCTGCTCTGGAAGTAGCTAGTGAGTCCTCCACTGTGAAGGTGATAAAGCTCCAACTGGACTCCCAAGTCGACCCCATAGTTTGGTATCCCTACTCTGCTTATGTTGGAATTTGTTATCCAGCTGTTTCAGCCCCGTAGACATATGGATCTGAATCAGGCTCTAGGATAGACTTCTTTTTTTTTTTTATTTTTTTTTTTCAACGTTTATTTATTTTTGGGACAGAGAGAGACAGAGCATGAACGGGGGAGGGGCAGAGAGAGAGGGAGACACAGAATTGGAAACAGGCTCCAGGCTCTGAGCCATCAGCCCAGAGCCCGACGCGGGGCTCGAACTCACGGACCGCGAGATCGTGACCTGGCTGAAGTCGGACGCTTAACCGACTGCGCCACCCAGGCGCCCCTAGGATAGACTTCTAAGCACAGACATCACATGCATCAGGGCCCTGCCCTCTGTTCCTCATCTCAGGCCATGCCTGTGGCTCCTGACACAAGTCAGGACATTGGGGTCAGGGCGGGTGTGACAAACTCACACTCATCTGTGAGGCACACGCAGAGGAGTCTGTCTTGTTCCTGATTTCCACACAATGTGTCTCCTCAACTGCCATCCTCTCACTTTCATCCCAAAGAATGTTCCTTGAAGTTTTGTGCCTGTCAAGGCGATGTCAGCCTTACCCATGTCTTTGGGTTTGTTGTTTCCCTGGTTTCGCTGCTCTGGTCCCCAGTGTTGGTTGTCCTCTGTGTCCTCTGTGTTGGTTGTCTTCCCTAAGTCGTCGTCTGAGTGTCAGGACATAACCACCTCTACCATCAATCAGCTTGCTTGTACATTTCCCTGAAGCATAGCTGAGCCCCGGCATGGCCCCACCCCGTGCATGGCCCATGTGCCTGTGTAGCAAAAGGGATCACGGACAAAAGATTTCCTTTGATTTGAGGGTCTGCAGATTCCGTGCATCAGTCTGGCCTCTGTAGAAATTCCCTAAAACCCTGCCACCTAGAGTATCTCATGAGGGAAGCTAGTGAGAGAAGGTTGCAGTAAGTTTTGAGAATGCAGGTAAGCTGTTCACCAGAATCTGCAGTAAAACAGAGGTTGACCGGGGCACCTGGGTGGCGCAGTCGGTTAAGCGTCCGACTTCAGCCAGGTCACGATCTCGCGGTCCGTGAGTTTGAGCCCCGCGTCAGGCTCTGGGTTGATGGCTCAGAGCCTGGAGCTTGTTTCCGATTCTGTGTCTCCCTCTCTCTCTGCCCCTCCCCCGTTCATGCTCTGTCTCTCTCTGTCCCAAAAATAAATAAACGTTGAAAAAAAAAAAATTAAAAAAAAAACAGAGGTTGACCTCTGCAGACAGACTGTTGAGATGGGGCTCTACCAGATCAGGGAAATCCTGCCCGATGCTTTAGGAAAGCTAGCCAAGGCACATTCCCAAGACACTTCGTGAGGCCTCCTGGATTATTTCTCTCAATGCCCTGCTGCCCAACTAAGGACATTAGTGCCCGTGTGCTAGTTGCGTGGGACACTCAATTTTCATGTCCAAGTGCTGCTCTGTTTATGTGACTGGCCGGTCTGTATTTACTTGTAGACAATCGTAATGATCTTTGCGATGAAGAAGACCAGGACCCGACATGCCCCAGGTAACTCTGAAGAATCATGGGCTTTAATTCAGTGGTGACATCTGGGGATCTCAGATGTAGGCCAATCTAGAAAGTGCTAAATGCACCTATTTCATCCCTTCCGACACCCACAAGGTGGTCCTTCAGCAAGGTCCTCTGTGTCATGTGGTACTCGCATAGACCCCGTTATTAATCCCTCTCAAATGGAGTATCTGCCGTCCACTGACGCAGGTGGACTAAGCAGTCCCAGGATGCCTTGCACTCTCCCGGTCTCTCCTCGTATTAGGTCCCGTGTAAGATGCACAGCTCTCTCTGCCGGTTGCCATTACCACATTGGCGGGCATTCACAGCAAGGATGGTTTTAGGAAAACAGTTTTCACGTCTCAGTATTTAGACACGTCGGCCTTGGGCCCACGAGATATCCAGGAGTCTACAATGCTGCCTTAGCCTGGGGTTCTCTTGGTGCTTTGTGTAAATCTCCACACAGTGTATGCCAAAGTGTTGATGCTGCTTTATCGTCCTCTGGTGTGCTGTGGGTCATGACTGTTGTGCCCTGGGGTGGTTGCGACTCCTGCCCCATAAGCTGGCACTCTGGCCGTGCCCTGAGCACCTGCCCGCCCACTCCCCCCCGTCCCTGCACCTATCCCGGGTGCACCCACACTGTGGCCCCAGCTTCAGGCAGACTGCTTCATTTCCCTTTGTGGGGATCCCGCTTGTGTTCTGTGACCAGTCCCTCCGCCCTGCCCTCAAACCTGGCTGGCACTGCATGTTGACTAAACCTTCTTGCTGCATGTCTCGTCCTCCCAGCAACACCAGGCTCTGCAGGGAGCTGCCAGTGGCCCCAGAGGATGAAGTCCCACAGGACTCAGTGGGGGAATGTAATTTGACTCCTTCCTTTGGCCATGACCTGTCAGACACCTATAGGCCTTATAGGAGTGCCTCATTCACCTTTGGTAAACAGGAAGTCTTCTTGGGCGTGGATGTAGATGGTGAGTCCTGTTCTTGTGAGGGGCACGAAGTTCCTGCTGGGGCCCCAGGAAGCCTGTCCTCTGTGTCTTCAACAACCTGAATCGGCTGAGAGTTGCATCCCTGCCAACAGGCCCTGTAGGCTCGTACCGGTTTGAACTCTGCTCTCGGATTCACTCTTTAAAAGGCATCCTGTGGCTCAGAGCCCTTTCCTTCCTTCTGTCCCAGGCTGCCCTCTGTCCCCCGGCCCCGTCCAACACGCAGGCTGTTGGTACCAAGTGAGGCTCGAGAGGAGAAATGGAGAAAATGGAAAAAAGGGTTCAGAATCTCAGCCACCGCTATCTTACCCGGAGACAGCTGGGTGACGGTCCTCCTTTGTTTCTTCCTGATTTTGTTTTGTTCCAAAAGGAGACCTCTGCTACTTGTGCAGTTCTGCTGCCAATTGTATTTCTTGTGTGGCTTCCTACAAACTCCCTGGCTTTCCACACACGTTTGTGGTCAGCTCCACATTGGCTGCATCTGTTAAATCGTTGCTGAGCTGCTAGTTGTTTCTCCTGGGGCGCCCGCCTCCCTGTGTACCAGAGCACCCAGTTCTACCCAAATGATCTGAAACAGTCGTAAATGCAAAGAGAACAGTTGCTAGACGCCCCAACGACCCCTGT